ATCCTGTGTATTCTACAGGATATATATATTTTAAATTTAATTTTAGTCTAATGACATTTAATTTAATTATAATTAAAATATTTTAAATTAATAATTTATAAATCAAAGGTCGTTCGTTTGTCTGTCCTCTTGCCCTTTCTTAATCTCGAAAACAAAGTTAAATAAATGAAAACCGAGACCGGATATTGAGAGCTTAGGGCCTTGAGGCCTCGATTAACTATATACAAACGTCCAGTCTGGACCGGAAGTCACGTGATTTTTAAAATAAAATGTAATTAAAAATGGCATATTGGCATTATGACGTTGTAATAATAAGTAATTGCTTTGTAATAAGTAATAATTTTAATTAATTAATTAAATGATAAAATTTTAAAAAAATTACTTACAGATTTTTTAGTAAAGGTGCACCTTTTAATGTCTTCCTTCCGATTACCGAAAGTTTATTATGGCTTAAATCCCTGAAAAGATTAAAAATACTTTTATTTATAGGGAATTTACCTATTTAAGGGATTTTTTTTATAAGTTTAACAGTTTATTAGCTTAATGTTATAGAGTTATGCGTAGTAAAAATTCTATAAACACTATAAAATGAAGGATAAACAACGTACAGGATACAATGTAAAACTATTGTTTATATTATAAAACAGATAATAGGTCTTATATAATTTATAAAGACAATATAAATATCCTATAGACCCTATAGAACATAGCGTAAGGATCTGAGATCCTGTACATTCTGTAGGATACAGTGTAGGAATAATATAAATACGAAAAGGCTATGTAGAATATAATATAAATAGCCTGTAGATTCTACAGGATAATATATATTATACAGGAAAAATTTTATATTGTATTCTATAGCCCATATAAGATCTTACTACTAGTTATGATCCTGTGTATTCTACAGGATAGTGTAAAAAATGCTGTATGTATTGATAATACAGAAGAAAGTAGAAAGATTCTATGAAAGAATACAATGTAAAATCCCTGTAGTGATCTACAGAATAAAGTATAAGGATATATACAGAATTTTTATATTATATTTTATAGCTCACATAGGATTTTAATAAGCGTAAGGATCCTGTGTATACTACAGAATGGTGATGTAAAGTATAAGGATACACAGATCTTTATATTGTAGTAGCTAAGGATCTTTTTACACGCAAGGATCCTGTGTATTTTATAGGATAGTGTGAAAATGCTGTGTGTATCACAGTATAAAAGATTCTATAAAGATTCTAATAAAGTATAAGAATATACAAAATCTGTATATTCTATTCTACATCCCATACAGAATCTAACTAAACTTAAGGATCCTTAATTGTGATATCATAGAGGAGAATAATAGATTCTGTGAAAGAATACAATGTGAAGTTCCTATAGTAATTTATAGAATAAACTATACAGATACACAGGATATTTATAATGTATTTTGTGGCTTGTGTAGATTATACAGGATACAATAAAAGGTTCTTATACATTGTAAGAACAGCATAAAAAATTGTAGATATCAAAACAGCGCAGATTTTACAGAATATATTGTAAATTCTAGAGAATACAGTACAAAAATATTGACCATTAATACTTTATATAACGTAGTATACACTAATTAGGTTGGCACAGAATACGATCTTACAGAAAAGATCCTATAGAAAGCAGTTTTCTAAAGCTCTGCTTACAAATTTATCTTCAATCAATAACACTGTAAGTATATAAAATATCAAAAACTGGATATTATTTGACTTTTCTTTATATATCTGCTTACAAATTAAAATACTTTATAAATATATATTAATGTTTATTTAATTTATATGAGTGGTAGAACAACGTTTACATCACATCTCTACAGGGATGCTTCATTAATTCATCTTGGGCATCATCTGGAGAGGATGCTTCCTATGAATTATATGAGGATATTATCTTTAAACTTATCTTCTATTATGTTTAATCTGATAAATGGCTAGCTTTTATTTAAGTTCTTTTTTATATTATCCGGATATTTGTAACACAGTCGAACATATGTCATGCCCTTATCTAGAATCTCTACAATACGTACAGTACTTATACTGCAAACTTGTATAGAAGAATATACACGTACTTTACAAATTTATAGATACATAAACGTATATATTCATGAATAAGAAAGAGGGAANCTTTGTGGGTGGCCTTGAATGGTTCACGTTTAGTTTGTTTGTAATTTGCCCTTATGGGCTTAGTTCTAGAGATATCGTCAGAGAATGTTTTTGTAACAGAGAAACTTGTGATTGAACTGTTCTACTTCTGCGGGCATTCCTCTTAAATAAATATAACAAAGGAAGAAAGAAAAAAAGAAATGAATGGGGTTTATCTAACTTTATGGTAAAAAAAAATTATTAAAAGCTTTTGAATGGAACCATTTATAATAGAAAATAAATAAATTTTTAATAGTTTTTTTCTTGGAAAATAAATGTATACTTTTTTTTACACTTCTAGAGTCTTCTAGAATAGGATATTCTTGAATTTGAAACGATAACTCAGACAGGAGATGCCAAGTATTATGCTTGTATAAAGACGTCTTACCTTCTAAAAAAATAGGTAAAAATCTATCAATAAATGCTTTTCCAATGGCTACAAACAATTTTTGTAGTTTGCGATCCTTTCTGTAATTTTTAAACTTCAAAATAACGGTCTTAAAACGTGCTCGTACACGAAAACTCTCTCGCCATCATCTTTATGGACTCAGTTTAAATGCTCTTAAAGTTCTTATCGATTACTTTGATTTTATATTACGTAAACTAAACTGCGATGGGGAGAAAATGGCGTAAATTAAACTGCTTTAGGGAGAAAATGAAGTAAATTAAAGAGCAAAAATTGCGTAAACCATACTGTGATTGGTGAAAAATTACGTAAAACGGACTGCAATAGGACAAAAGAAAAAACAATACCTAAAAGAGCAGAGTAAAGCAAAACTCAGGAAAGAAACAAACACCTGTTATATTTACATTTGTCATCAATGTATCTCTCTAGCGACTCTTCTAAGTTATTTATTACTTTTCGGATGTGAGAGAGCAAGAAAAATGAAAATGGATGAGATATGTGACACTGTCCTGTAACGACAGTGTGCATCTACGCCCCAAACACCCAGGGAATGTGTCCATCCATCTCTCTTGTTTAGAGAAGAAAAAAAAAGAAGAAAAAAAGAAAAAAAAACTAGTGCATTTGCAAGATGTCCGCAGTTGCAATAACCACTGCATAGAGTGGTTACTTTTGCTTCTCCCACGTAAGGATTTATAACCCATCCAATACTAAAGATGGGTTGCTCCTACCCCGACAACAAACTTGATGCCACAGACTTTTACAGCTTTCTCCACCCCAACAGATGCTCGCAGTCAGCATCTGCACTCTCCTATAACTTCCTCTTGGTTGCTCGCAGTTATACGTGGATTGTGCTTCACTTCATTGCTGTCAATGCCGGAGGATTTAGTGGGTCTTTTATTATTATAAATACAATTTTTTCCTATTTTCGTCAGGAAAATCATTTACTTTAAAAGCTTTGTTTTACACGTCTGGTTGTCTGTCCTCTAAACTTTTCGTACCTACTCTCTAGAAACCTACTGAATTCCCTATAATAAATATAAGCTCTTTACACGTCTATTTGTATTTTTATTGATGAGTCTATAAGCCTGTATATACTACAATTAGAAATTTAACTCGTAATTAGACCTACAACACTATAAAAATAAGTTTTTATACTGTATACAAGGTTAATTCTTCATCATACCCGTAACTTAAGCTACCGTCGTAAAGCGAGCCATCCAACTTTTCGTAAGATTTCACTGTCATAAATTCCCCGAAAATACAGTTTTAATTGTATAATACTATGTAGAAAATGGCCAAATAAAGATAGAATTGTATAGAAAATGTATACGTGTCGTAAAAGTGGAGTTATAAAGCTATCGGTCGTAAAGCGGGGGTACGTACTAAACACTTGTATTTTAAGTATAAAAACAATACAGATATTATAAATACGTAAATAATTATGTAGGCTTTCGTACGTACTTTATATTTTTAACAATAAAACGTTTAAATACCCTCTATTTAGGGAAATATCTTTGAAAATTGACAATAGAATTCTCCTGTTTTCTTTTTTATTTCTCCTCTATTCTAAAGCGTAGAAGAGTGTATACTATGAAGAAACTTTGACTCTTAAGTAAAGGAAAAAATAAAGTTTTTAAAATTGAAAATAAAATAAAAGTAAAGAAACAAGAGAATCATTTCAAAACATTCGGAAATTCGGACAGATGCTGAATTCTGGGAAACAATCAAATGGGTGAGTCTGTCTTTCCTTCTCGTCAACCACGAGATTACCCAGCATTCCTGAGAGTAGCAGGACGTGAAGTTAACGATGTGCCACTCACTCAATCGTGGGAAGAGCGGTCTGTCTATCCGAAACGCAGATGACCAGAAGATAGAAAGTACACAAGGCATTTTGACCAAAAACTTCCCTTTGTGGGTGGCCTTGAATGGTTCACGTTTAGTTTGTTTGTAATTTGCCCTTATGGGCTTAGTTCTAGAGATATCGTCAGAGAATGTTTTTGTAACAGAGAAACTTGTGATTGAACTGTTCTACTTCTGCGGGCATTCCTCTTAAATAAATATAACAAAGGAAGAAAGAAAAAAAGAAATGAATGGGGTTTATCTAACTTTATGGTAAAAAAAAATTATTAAAAGCTTTTGAATGGAACCATTTATAATAGAAAATAAATAAATTTTTAATAGTTTTTTTCTTGGAAAATAAATATATACTTTTTTTTTACACTTCTAGAGTCTTCTAGAATAGGATATTCTTGAATTTGAAACGATAACTCAGACAGGAGATGCCAAGTATTATGCTTGTATAAAGACGTCTTACCTTCTAAAAAAATAGGTAAAAATCTATCAATAAATGCTTTTCCAATGGCTACAAACAATTTTTGTAGTTTGCGATCCTTTCTGTAATTTTTAAACTTCAAAATAACGGTCTTAAAACGTGCTCGTACACGAAAACTCTCTCGCCATCATCTTTATGGACTCAGTTTAAATGCTCTTAAAGTTCTTATCGATTACTTTGATTTTATATTACGTAAACTAAACTGCGATGGGGAGAAAATGGCGTAAATTAAACTGCTTTAGGGAGAAAATGAAGTAAATTAAAGGGCAAAAATTGCGTAAACCATACTGTGATTGGTGAAAAATTACGTAAAACGGACTGCAATAGGACAAAAGAAAAAACAATACCTAAAAGAGCAGAGTAAAGCAAAACTCAGGAAAGAAACAAACACCTGTTATATTTACATTTGTCATCAATGTATCTCTCTAGCGACTCTTCTAAGTTATTTATTACTTTTCGGATGTGAGAGAGCAAGAAAAATGAAAATGGATGAGATATGTGACACTGTCCTGTAACGACAGTGTGCATCTACGCCCCAAACACCCAGGG